ATTTATAACAAACAAATATTATTGGATAGTGTTTAACATACGAGATCCAAACACATGGCACAATTTGATACTTCTCTATATTCAACTACAAAAGCTACCTAGTTCTGAATAACTTAAATCTTTGTAGTCTATATACTAAAACATCTTGTCATCACAATGAAGAACAGTGACTGTAACCATCTTTGAGTGATTTTGTAATTTGTCAGCTTTATAAAAAAAGTCATTTAAGTAATTTATTTGTTTGAAGCTCTGCTCATCTAGCCATTTCAGAATTATGTATTAAATAGTTTTGTGGCTTCGTTTGTACATACACTTTTTTATGGTACTACTGAGTTTTGACTTGTGCCACATGCTGGCTCAGACACTATAGGGAGAAGCATGTGTCTAACCACTAGTAATTGGCAGGGTGACCTGCAGCAGGACCTGTGAATGAAACCCATGGAGCGGGACAATAGGTCAGTCCCCGAGGAGCTGCCCCAGAGCAGCCATAATGCACTCACACTCTCCCTCCACTGCCCAGACAACAGCCGTAATGAACTTATCAGCCATCATAGCTGACAGCTGACATCTATATTTACTAGCCATCACTCAGTGTAGAATATTCATGCCGCACTATGGCGATACCACTTAACTGGTCAGTGCTTTGGCCCTATTAACATTTACCATTCCCATCTTAATTGTGTGTGTGACATCGCTGTGTTGTGCTGTGCTGTCTTGCGGTCTCAGTTGAGTCTCGCCGTCCTGTCAGGAGAGACTTCATTACAGCAGACTGTGGTGTACACTGTCCATGTCCAGACAAGATTTCTCTAATGAGCAGATCACACCAATATAAACATACACACACACTTATAGACACGCGACACAACAACAAAGACCTCTGGTACACGGGAGAGAGGCCGTTACAGGCAACCAAAAATACACACCCACACCAATCCCTCAGAGAGTTAAATTCTATTTTTTATTTTTGGAGGATGTCGTATTAATATTTTATAGTTAATATATTTATTTGATAATATATATAATATGGAGAATATAGACTATTGTGCTATTGTGCGTGATCAGTATTTGATCAAAAATCGAATATTGTGAAATTATACATTTTCAGTAATAATCTAATTTAAAACAACTGTTTTCTATTTTAATATTTTAAGATGTAATTTATTCTTGTGCTGACAAAGCTGAATTTTCAGCAGTCTTCAGTGTCTCATGATCCTTCAGAAATCATTCTAATATGCTGATTTGGGGCTCAAGAAGCACTTCTTATTATCAATGTTGAAAACAGTTGTACTGCTTAATATTTTGTAGAAACACTGATGCAGTTTTTTCAGGATTCTTTGAATAGAAATTTAAAAAGAACACCATTTATTTGATTTATTATTTTTAGTTTTTTTTATATATATATAAATGTCTTTACTATAATTTTTGGCAAATGTATTGCATCCTTGCTTAAAACTATTAATTGAAAATAAAAAACTACCCTCAAACTATTGAATGGTACTGTATATGTGCTTTTTTTAGAGAGAGAATTATGCTGGGTACACACCACAAGATAATCGGGCTGATTTTGGGCCGATTTCTCCCGTTCCGACCATCCTAGGTAATGTCCCGATTATCTTGATGGTTCTAAAGATTATCTTATCAGATTTTCCTGTGGTGTGAGGTGTGTTAAGAGGGACTGAATCTGCTCGGAAGAACGTCGGAGGCACCCCGATCGCGATCAGAAATCCTGATGTGTGGGGGGAACCCCGAGGACACCACACACTATAGGAGCCAAACGGTTAAATCTAGGATTTTTTGTCCTCATGTTTGTGGTCTCTCACATTTTGAAGATCTTATAAGATTTTAAAAATCTTTTAGTGTGTACCCAGCCTTAGTAATCTCTATAAATAAATTATATATACCGTATTGTCCCGAATATAAGACGATGTTTTTTTTCTTGGAAATACATCTGAAAAAACGCAGTCGTCTTATATTCAGGGTCTAGACTTTGACATGTCAATAACACACCCACAATAATATGTGGAGCCAAATACGCATAAAATGAGTGTGCCATGAAATTTGTAATGCAATGCGTGTTGTAAAGATCGCGAGTAAAAACAAAAGAGAAAGAAAACCTTACAGCTGCATGAGTCGTGACTGTCACGTTAGCCTGATGGGACCAAACTCTACTTCTCAGGAGAATTAGATTTTGGTAGGCTACTATTAGATGGATAGCCTAAATGTCCTAATTCAGATGGGCTATCTGTTTGTTTGTTTGTTTTAATGGTATATCAAAAAGTCTATATTTTTTAAATGTGATTGTTGGTACATTTGACCAGTTTTTACCATACTTTCAAAACAAAAATGAAATAGGAAAAATATGCAATATGAAAATAATTGAAGACAAAAATGTGTTTTACTGAGAAAAAAAAAACAAGATTTGTTTACATCTGGAAAAAGGGGGGTCGTCTTATAATCAGGGTCGTCTTATATTCGGGCCAATACTATATATATATATATATATATATATAATTTCTTTTTTTTTTTATCTAATCATCATAAATGACTGAAAGTCATGGACAAGTCACAGAGATTCATTGGTCAGAAAGTATTGAGGACCTTGTGTCTAGATCTGTATTTCCCATAGGATGTACGTTTTGTCATTCTTTGGGCTGCTTTTCTAGTCTGACTGTTAAAGCTAAATAGTTTTGAGCATGTTAGTTATGGACATGCCATTGTATTATTTGTGTGCCCAGGTGCTTTGCTTAATCTCATTCCAATTTGTAGCTCTGCTTGAAGATCTCCCTCTGTACAATCTTTACTTCCGAGGCGAATTTAGATTAGATTTTAATCTTACCTAGCTGATGAATCACTTCTACTGAGGCATATATCATGTTTGACATGTAATGTGTATGTGTAAATACAGTGACATTCTATACTGTATATAATATACCACCTTCATGTATATCTGTATACATGCTTCATATCCCCTATAGGGGTCCCTGTAGAGGGCTCAGGGACCAAAAGAACAATAACTGCTGTCTCATAGCCGCTCTAAGCCCCGGGGGTAGAGTGTGTCGTGTGTCACCATGAGGTAGGTGCGTGTGTATTGGAACCTTAAGCAGCCCCATGGGGGGCAAAGCACCGCTTCATTCTCCAGAGTTATTGATTAGATAAACAGTCACTAGTTTTACATCAGGCCCCCGCTGATGTCTACGAGCCTTTTATTGATGACGGTGGGAAATTTGTTCAGCCGGAATCAAGCCAGCCAGCCAACCTACCGCCTCTCTTTACAGGATAAATCTCAGATTCGTGCTTCCGGATGCTTTAAACATTCAGAGGAATTCACACGGTTCCTTTTTATCATTGTGGTTAAGATGTTTATTTCTGACCCTTTTTTCCTTATTCTGTATTGGTTTTGGGAGGAAAGGCTTTTTAAATACACATAAGAGTGATAAGTTCATTTAAATGTTTTTCAGGCCTCCCAAGAAGCTCACGGCGAAGGAGCGAGTGTCAAACCTAATGCGCTCAGAGTATCTCAGTGGGATAGATGGAGAATCCAAGTCTAAGAAGAAGAAGAGGAAAAAGAAGAAAGGTCAAGCAGAGGAAGAGCAGTCTACCACAGCATAAAGCAGAAGACTTTCGGAGAGATCCGAGGCTCTTTTAATGCTGAGGTCGGAGTCCTTGCAGCCAGGTGGATTCTCAGGGTTGAACACACAGGTGTTTTTTTTATACAGAGTGACATTTTTTTTTACCTGTAACAAAGCACAAACGGTCAGCAGTGTGGTCTGAAAATCTGCTTTTACCATCTGCGTCAAAAAAAACAACTTTGATGCAAATGGTAAAATAGACTTAATAGAGTGAAGTGCATATGGAATGTTTTATTGCTCTGTCAGTTCACCTATGAATTTATTATAAATGTGGTGCCATAAATATGACTTTTTAAGCAATGTGATTTACAGAATGTTGTAATACAGTCACTGAATGTTATATAAAAGTGAATTGTATTTAATACGTGTGTTTGTTTATTTTAATCAGATTTTGGGCTCTCCACAGGATTGAATCCAAACGTTTTGGCGACCAAACCTGGCATGCCTTTCATGTTGTACACAAGGTTATGAGAACACCGCATAAAAATAGCCTTTGTTAGAAGCTTTTTAGCTCATTCCCCTGGCTTGGTCAGGTAAATAGGGGTGGATATGTATGGAGGCTTACGCTGACCAGCTGTCCAAGCGTTGAGTCGGACTCGCCCGGTCACCAGCTGCTGTCTTTTGGCCGAGTCTTCGCTGCGAGCGCTAAAAGAAATTTGACCGGAATATTACGTTTCACGGTCGCTTTATTAGCGTAAAAGCCGCTTGTAAAAATGTGATTGGTCTGTAATAATGAAACGCCTATTATGATTGGTCAATTAAACCCACACAACAAACCACTTACCCAGATACGCTGGTTTCGCTGCGAGTGTGCTTCTCTACGAAGCTCGTGTATAGAGAGCTCGCAAAAGGTTTCCTTTGGCAGTAATGCATATGCTTATGTTAATTGAAAACGTAAATATTGATGTAAATGCGGAGTCACAATATGAGCGCAGGAAACAGACGGAAATGATTGAGTTTTTATCGCGTAGGCCTTCTGCGTTCACGGGCTGTTGGTTTGATGTCCAGCTGTAATGCAGTTCTAAAACTGATATTTTTGCTTATTTTAAAGCTCGTTATATGCACCATATATTCACAACTAATATACAAAAACTGTTTGACCAAGAGAATATCGAAGATTAAGGTACTTCTGTCATATGTCTTTATTTAGAAAAGTATTTTGGCGTCTGTTGATCGGGCTTGTAAACTACCCATGAACACAACACAATTTCCACACAAACGGAATCACTGTCTGAACAGGTTGTAGTGCCATTTCATTCGAAACAGCCGCTCAGCACTACCACCACCATCACATTCATCGGTGACAAATTACATTTCTTACAATTACAGTTGTTAGTTATTAGTGGTTTGTTTTATTATTTTTGTTCTTACAATGCATTTTTATCAACAAAAAAAATCCACAATTGTATTGCATATGGTTCAGTTGAATTGTTTTTTTAAGGATATGTTTATTTTGATTGGCTTGCGTCTTAATTTTGTGCACATAAACCACGCCATTTCTTAGGGGGAAAGCAACTTCTTTCAGAAAGCAGTCAGGAGGGTCATGTGGTGATGGAACCTCGTCAAATCATTTTCTGATACTTCCGCACGTTAAAGTTTAATAAATAGTTAGCATTCACCTTTTGGTCAGTCAGAGTCATTTGGGAAGTCTATTATTGCGCGTTTATATGTTCAGTATACATGGGTATTGTCCAAGCGCAACCCTGTCGTTCCTGAGGTTGGAGTTTTTTGTCAGGCTGGATCAGTTCATCGCGGCGTATGTCGCGGTATGATTCCAGGGAGAGACGCTGGGTCTCCGCCGCCCTGAAGACCGTGCAGGAGGATCCTCGGGACCAGAGGCCGCTGAACCGGTGGTGGAGGCGCGGACGGCCCTCTGTACAGATACAGCCCTGGTCCCGGGTCGAGGTTAGACATCAAACTTTGAGGGTAAAAATAGGGTGATGGGAACATTCTTTGTAGAGCTGAGTAATTCCCTGCTTCCGCGAGGAGCTCCAGTCCAACTGTTGTCTGCCTTTTCCACTTCGTTCTGTTTGAAACAAACAGCCTCATTAATTTGCAATATAATGTTCGTGTTTTCTTTATATATAACTATTCTTCTCAAATGACTGAAATTGTTGGAAATGATCTCGGAGTCTAGAATGCCTTCTATTATTAATAATAATGTTGTTGTTAAAAATGCTTATATATATATATATATATATATAATCTTGTCCATCAAATCAAAGTGTGGCGTAACACATGCAGGAAGCCATTTTGTTGTCATGTGACACTAACCATAAAACGAAGACGACCCCTTTAGGTGTGTCAATGTCTTAATTTTTTAGGCTTTTGATTGATTTATTTATTTTTTTTCACATAATTTCACATTTTTACTGTATGAAAAGGAACGATTTGCTCAGATCAAATAAAGTAACCCTAAGAAAACCTCGTGATTCACAAATGTTTTAAAATTCAAGGTGCAAGGTGAATTTTTAGTTGGCTACTTTTTTTGTGGAAAGGGGTATGCCTTTCAAAAATGCCTTTAAACAACATGAATAAAATTACAAATAGGCCTATCTGCTTTTTCCAACATCGGCTTAATGCAGTCAGAGCTATACATATTTAAATAATAATAATAAACCACAAACAAATAGGCTATTTGGCGCTTCATGGAAAGTTTTTGTTCGTCGAGGATGAATCCGTGTAATATCCTGTAGAACACTCATCCGTCAAATTGTCACTCAGCAAAGAGCCATTTCAGATAAATAATTAATAATTTTGGCAATTGTTTAATTACCACTCGGAAGCTAAATTATTGATACACGATGCGGTAATTTATTATTTATGACTAACGTTAAATGTGTTGGAGTCGTGGTGTGCGTGGATGTAGCGATAGGCTATGCACAACTTTTTCCTGTTGTGGGTTAATTTTTTGACAGCATGACAGAAAAAACACATAACCAATTCTTTTACAAAATAATACTGATATTATAATATTTCAGAAATATAAAACCTTCCATAGTGATTTTGTATAAAACCTGTACATTTAAAACGCCTTAAAAGTGGTTCGGCCCGCATAATAGCTGCTAGTCGGTTGCATCTTTGCCAGTGTGCAGAAGTAGGCTGTCTGATGTTTGTATTCACCTGCGGTTTTGGTACCATGTTTTGACCTGTGTGTCGGTGAGGTTGAGGGACGCTGCGAGCTCCATCCTGTCCTGCACGCTGAGGTACTTCTGACGCTCGAAGCTGCGCTCGAGCTGCGCCAGCTGCTGATCCGAGAACGCAGTGCGCGCTTTCCGAGGCTTCTTCAGCCGGGAGCTGGGGCTGTCTCTGCTGCTGGAGTGGATGTAGCGATAGGCTATGCACAACTTTTTCCTGTTATGGGTTAATTTTTTGACAGCATGCCAGAAAAAACACATAACCAATTCTTTTACAAAATAATACTGATATTATAATATTTCAGAAATATAAAACTTGAAGTGATTTTGTATAAAACCTGTACATTTAAAACGCCTTAAAAGTGGTTCGGCCCGCATAATAGCTGCTAGTCGGTTGCATCTTTGCCAGTGTGCAGAAGTAGGCTGTCTGATGTTTGTATTCACCTGCGGTTTTGGTACCATGTTTTGACCTGTGTGTCGGTGAGGTTGAGGGACGCTGCGAGCTCCATCCTGTCCTGCACGCTGAGGTACTTCTGACGCTCGAAGCTGCGCTCGAGCTGCGCCAGCTGCTGATCCGAGAACGCAGTGCGCGCTTTCCGAGGCTTCTTCAGCCGGGAGCTGGGGCTGTCTCTGCTGCTGGAGATTTCTCGATCAGCTTCGTCTTTCACTGAAAACGCAATGCACATATTTATACCATAAGCATGTCATTTTGACAGAATTGCCATTTCTTACCAGAGCTCATTTACGTTTGTTATATTGCCTTTCCTATTAGTAAATTTAGTTATTTCCGTTATTTAAAATGCCTGTGACTTAGATATGCGTTTAAACAGCAATGAAGACGATTATATTAATTTGTTGTCATTTTTGCATGAAATCATTTTAAAAACAGCTCAACTGAGCTGCATTGAGATCTGAAGCCTCTCAAAAGCGGCTTGTCATTGTGTTACGCATCTGATCATCAGATGGACAAATTCAGAGCCAAAATTAGGCTGTTTAATGAAACACATTTATTGCCAGTTAGTTGTGAGCTTAACTGTGAGCAAACAGGCTCTCTCAGTTGATTGAACCTGTATCAGGACATTTGATTTGGGTTTGAAACCATTATACATTTTGGCTAAAATGACCTCCTAAACCGGGATTAGTTTTTATTGAAATACCATATGTTTCGATTGCAAATACATTTAACGATTAATTACATTGCACTGCGATATAGGAAGTAATATAATAGAAAACGAAAAACGTGATCATAAAAATATAAATAATTCGATTATTTTCTTGACGAAGGGCAGCAGTGCTGCCTATTTATTTGTACTTATTTTGTGATCTCTTAGAAAAACCATCGTTTTCGGACTGATTTCTTATTTTAGATCTCGATTTGAAACATTAAAAAATACATTTACATATTTATCTTGAGTAGTAGGCTAAGTTTGACCTAATTTCTTAGGAATGTAAAAATGCAAAACGGCGTGTGACCATATATCAATTTGAACTTAATCTAAAAATAAAATGTAAAACTAATATAATAATAATAATAATAATTCAACAGTGTTTGCATTGTAAATCTATATATTTTGCTTTATAAAAAAACAAGCTTAGTGTGTCTCACCCCTGTATTCACTGTCCGAGGACGAATTGCTGTGAAGTTTGTCCATGCAGTCTTCATGATCTTGTGCTGACTGCCCAGTGCTGGAATAAGGAGCACAGGCAGCCAGGGGTTTGCAGTCCGCTAGTATGTCTCTGATCAAGAACGAGGACGTGACTGTTCGCGGCTGCTGGGATATTTGTAAAGGAGAGTCCAGTCCGAGGGCGCGAGCGTGTCTTTGCACCGCGTCTTCAACCGAGGTCCGTCTCGGAGAGGGAGGCGACGAACAGCCGCTGTCCAGATCCGACCGGGGGCTCAACTCCGCTGGAGACCTGCACTCCCCCTTTGACATACACGGGCTGGTCGGTCTGTGAGAAAGTATAGACTCGATCCCAAAGCTCGACCCGTTTGATACCTCCATCGCGAGACAAATCGATCTCAAATGTGCATTTGTGCTTTCTGACACTGGTTTTGGTGATACGGCGAAAATTGGTAGATTTACAACTGTAAATTTAGATTATAATTCTGGCCATTTAAAAAAAAAAAAGTCCGCTAAACTCCTTTAGATCTTGTCCCAGGGGGGAAAAAGGTCCTATATTTTCTAAGTTGTTTTTAGCAGATCCTTCTTCTGTCGTTGACTGCAGGTCAGTTTTGTTGAATTTGTTGTCGTACAGTTAGTTCCTCAAAAGCAAATCTGTGAAGTGCGCCGGTCAGTTTCAGCACCAAGGACAGGTACAACTACATAAGAACAGCACTCCTATTATAACTCTATTCATTAGCTTGGAAACTTATCTGGCTTTCTAGAGACACAACTACAACCCTACTAAGCCCCAAATCCTCTGACCTAAACCCGATGCTGATGTGTAAAGTTCTAGTCCAGGTCTGCAAGGACTAAACCTGTGTAACAGAGTATAAACACAGGCAGTGATCTCCACGACCTGAAAATGACACCCTCAAGGAAACAGCCAATACCGGAGGAGGAACAAGCTTTTAAAGGTGTCCATTCCGCGTTTGTCCCGAGCGCCACGTCGTTATTGGTTAAAGGGTGTTTTTGGGGGGTGATGATCACGTATGTGTTGTGGGAGGGAGAGACAGATAGTCAACCCTCCCTCTTTTCTTCTAAATAAATCGCAGACACGTAATACGTGACATGTGGATCCTGCACAGGGTGCTAGATTTTGCATTCACCACTTTACCACTGTTTCTTTTTCCTCTTTCAAACCAACATCTAAACCAGGGTTTTTAAACCCCACCCCTACTCTCAGATATCCCAGGGATACCTATAAAATGATACATTTGTATTGATAACACTTAGGCTTTTATTCAATTTAAATTCACATTTTCAGAAATGTTATATATATATATATATATATATATAAACTATATATATGTGTAGACAAAATAATAAAAAATTAAATTACATCACATTTTTTTTATTGAGAGATTAATACTTGAAGAAGCCGGATTCACATAGGCGCTGCGGCTGAAATTTAATAATTTTAGCTCTGTTAATCCACTGTGTAAGTGCCTTGACCCAGAATCCCTCTCCTGCTTGCAGACTCTGAGTGGTGGGCACTCATGGCTTTCTTCCGGGCTTCAGGATCTCGAAAGGTGTCCAGAGCTGGTCCCACCTACAGAATACAAAACAGAGTATCCCATAAATCTTACACTGACTTTTAGCAGACTGGGATGCTGTCTGGGTAGGAAGAGATATAAGTGTACGTTTGGTTATTATATATATGAAATATATATAAGAAATGAAATATAAAATGTAGGAAAAAGAGTGTGTAATCTCATCGGATCTGATCAATCGTCCTAGAGTAGGAAAATAGATTTAGGCTCATTGCAGTTCAACACCAAAAACAAAAAGATATGAATGACAGAAAAAAGTAACATGGATGGCACTGTTGGAACCTGGAAGACTTTCTGTTTTGATACACAAAAGTGCAGTCAGAATAGTCGAACATTAAAAAACATATCCCTGTAAAAGGCAGCAGAGACGCTTTGCCCATGTTTTACTTCTGTAGCATCTAAGCTGGTACGTAAAAATGTATACTGACAGCTATTAAATAATAGAACTTGTTGGAACAGCACATTTATAATTTGAACAATGGCTCAAAACAGGCAGATATGTAAGAAAAATATGTATGAAAATTTCTATTTTATATGTTTGCCATGTTTATGGCATGCTTCTGAACAGAAAAAAACACGCGTCACATCATGTTTTAAATATATTTATTTGTTTATATTTTTTCCTTTTTCTGTTCTAAAAAATCTGTTGCCTCCCACAAACACTTTTGACACCTCCAAACCTTTTTGAATTAATAGGAGGAACACACGTCTCAAGAAAGGTGGAATGAAAGAGATGTAAAGGAAGGTGACAATACAAACAAACAAACAACAGGAATGAAGAAAATGAGTGTAGAATGAAGAAGAGAGTCAAGGATGCAAATGTCGAACCTGGTGCTATCAGGACAGCTACTTGACAGGCTGTAATGAGCAGAGGTAAATCTTTTATAAGGTTAACGCTCCTCTCTCTCCATCAGCTGTCATACAAGAGAGAATTTAGCGCAGGCGTGCAACCAAAATAACACTCTCCCTCCCTCATTAGAGCCGACTGAGGGTGGACGACAGGACAGGCAGCCACGGGGTGTGTGTGTGTGTGTGTGTGTGTGGTTGGGGAGGGGGTTGTAATTTGCAGAGGAAATTCAGACAGAGAGGAAAAATAGGATGGTGGAGGGGTGCATGGGAAGAGTTAAAAGGAAAAAAATAGCAGTATGGTATATCATTGTGTGTGAGAGATAGCTTATATGCACCGTACAACAATAATATTCATGTTTAACCATGTGCATATAAATATATAATAAATATATCTCCATGTTGTTGTGTTTATGCTTTTTTATGTTCCTATATTTGTGTGATACGAAAAAAAAGCGAGGTACCGACTGGATCCTAAAATGAAATATTAGAAGCAAAATTTGTATATATATATATAAATTTGCTAAAATCTTTAATTCTCAAGGCTTTTAAATTAAAAACAACAGCTTTTAAAACGTTTTTACAACAGTCACTTTTGTGTAATATGATGGCTTAAATACTGTATACATTTGTTCCAATTTGATGTTTTACAACCAAATATCATTCTCAATAACCAATAATAGAACAACATTAATTTGGCCAACAAAACTGTTATGAATGTATATTTCTATTCAACACACTGTCAAATTAACATCAATAAAAAGTGTCACAAACCTAAAGTTAATTTCTCCATTTCATTTCAAATCTGACATAAGTTCAGGTCTGTAGCCATTTCATGAATCTTTTTGGCTGATTCATTAAAAATAATTTTTCATGTATCAGACATGAATGATTGTGGTCTCACGCTGTGTTTGTTGTTGTGTGCAAGAAACAGCGACTCACACTAGAACAAGATGATATCACATATGGACAAAACTTCCTCAACTTGGTTTAAATCATTTTTTAAATTATTTAATCTTTTTGTTGCATTTGCGACATTTTTTACTCAGAGTCCGGAGCCCTGTGTAAATAAATACTGTGGCTAGTGCATATGTATTGTGGTGTTCCGTCAGTGCTTGTAAAGGTGTCTTTGGATGTGTGTAAGGGCCATCATTAGCTCAGCAGGAGTCTGATTCCTTCATAATTGGAAGCATTGGGGATTGTCAATAGAGAATTTCCATGCACCGCTGACAGGTAGAGCTGTCAGGCTGGTAGTCTGCTTGTCAACGCAAAAGACCAATAAAAACAAAGCACTTTTGATTTACTTGGTGCTTTTGCATTAAGGCTAGCAGAGGGACCAATACTGAAGGGGTTAGTGTACATGTGAACAATCGTAAGGGCTTGAGGCAGATATTGTTACTTTCAGCGTAGATTTTTCAGCAAGGCATCCTTATACTTCACACTGTCACAACACACACACACACTCTCGCTCTCTCTCTCTCTCATGCATGTACAAACACACACACACACACACACACACACACAGTACACTGATCCTGTCTATCCTTCCAGTGGGAGTCAACTAAACCACTGAATGAAAAAAATAATTTAATATAAAATGCATATAGTTGCCACAAATATAATTATGTATTATTTAAAAAACAAGTAGACCAATTAGGTGTGGAAGAAAAAATAGCTCAGAGACTACAGAGTGAAAATGAATTAGTAGTCACTAAGGGAATTTTCACCTGCTGGAAACGAGGCATTTTCCACATGGATGGGGCCTCGGGCAAGGGGCGACTCTTGCGGAGCATGGTTGTTCGTGTATCCTGTATACGTCCAAGCTGAGCCTGTGAAGGATTCAATAGACACTTACAGCTTAATCACTCTTCTCAGAAGCGGAGGTTAATATTAAAGTCATTCTGTGATATCTTCAACAGACCTTCTTATGCCGATGGGCCTGCAGGATTTTGTCCTTGGCCTGCTGCTCTTCCAGCCATTTTTGAGCATATTTATACTCCATGAGCTCTGAGATTGGGGTGGATGGTCTAAAATGGAACAAAACCGTTTTCTTAGGTTGCCCACATCTGAATATTAAGAATTCTGTGATTTACACTTGTTTTGGTAGATAAAAGCATAATCAAATTTGACAATAAAAGGATTGTTCACAAAATGAAAATTCTCTCATCATTTACTCACCTGTATGACTTTATTTCTTCTTGGGAACATAAAATATAATATTTTGAGGCCTAATGGAAGTCAGTGGTAACCAAAACTGTTTGGTTTCCAACATTCTTTAAAATATATTTTGTGTTCTGCAGAAGAAAGTATATCATGCATGGCACGAGGTCATGGAATGACACAAGGGTAAGTAAAACATCACACAATTTTCACTTTTTGGTGTACTATCCCTTTAATGTTTTCTGAGTCCAGAAAATGCACGAACGTGTTTAAATTCGGTTACAGAATATGGTTGTCACTCTAGTAAAGAAACATTATCTTTCTAAAACAGGACTGACCAGTGTTGGGCTAGTTACTCAAAAAAATTAATTTATTTCTCATTACTAGTTACTCCTTTCAAAAGTAGGCCTAATAATATTACGTTACTTATTATTTTCTGGTTTAGTTACACTATTATTATTCTTAAGATAAGAATATATATTCTTTCACCCACAGACGTTGTAATTGCTTATCTTCCCCATAAAAATTATTCTAAAATGTTACTAACAATAGGCTATATTTCTCATAATTTAACCAAAATTCCAACGCTATAAATTCACATTGGATCGCAGTCAGGAGTTATTTCAAATACTCAATGGTGATTGATAGTAACGTTTAAGTAAAAGTGTTGTATTATTCTCATTAATTGTGTAGTTTGAAGTTAGATTGTTGCTATAATATCTGTTACCCATATACAATTCTATTTCATTATGTATTTTATCAAAAGAGATCACAAAAGTGAAAATATGTTTTCTAAAAAGATTTTTAATTCTAGTAATACAATTTATATCAGGATCAGAGGGATGTGGGTGGGCAAGCCATGTAATGCCAGAGTAAAATAATGCCAC